ATCCTTTAGGTATGATGCTCAGGGTTGCCAGGGCTTTAGAAGGGGTCGGGGGAGAGAGGGGCCACGGGTCATATTCTTCATCACTAGTGTCTATGTTTTCAGATGGTGTATGTAAACGGCTTCCTATGAGAACAGTGCTCACTTCAAAAAAGGGTTTCCGAAGATGATAATTATCATTTTTGTATCGTCTTTTAGAACCAGACACACTATTTGACTCGAAGTTAGAGGTTTATCTTTTTAGGTAAACACAGACAATGGCCTCTAACCCAGTTGCTTCCTGTGGCTGGTCGTCTGTGTCTCTGCACTGCCCAGCCTATCAGCAGCAAAGAATTTGTTCAACGATTGCCAGTGGCAGTTCGTTACCAGCGGGGGTTTGTTGGTGTTTCCTCAGACTGTTTCAAGTCTATCAATAAAGACTTTTTTCTCTTTCAGTCAGCTTGCACTGAGACAATTTCAGCAACAGAATGTGCGTGTGAAAGCAGCTGAAGCCTCCTCAGCCCAGCCAACCCTCCCCCGGCTGACAGCTCATCACCTCAGCACGGTGCTTCCTTTCCTAGTCTCCTGCGTGATTCGTCTGTTTGCAGGCCTCCCAAGAACAGGTTAAATAAACGGCATTCCATCGTACCTAGATATGGCCAGCGTGTAGCTAAATATAACGATAGCCTTGGTTACAAACAACTTAACAGTTATCCAAATAAACGCATTTGATGGTACAACACAGCCACCAATTTTCCAACAGTGTCCTTCCTGCTTTTGATTCAGTATTCTAACAGGAAAACATGAGGCACAGAGCTTCTTACATGCTAAGACTCTCCATATGGACAACCCCTACCTGTTATCTGCCTCTTCTGGGCTTGACCGTTTTTGAGAATAAAAACCCAAAACCAAGAGAATGATCCTGAGCTCTGGGCCTTCCAAGTGTTCTCACAATTAGACGCAAGCCCCATACCGTCAATGTAGATATTGCCAAAATGATGTTTGAGCGACTTCCCACGCATCTTATGAGAAGGCAGAGGAGCTTAGCATCTGTTAGGCTCTAAACATGGGTGTTCCTCCAAAGACTCCTGTGCTGAAACCTTTGTGGTGTTATGAAGTGACTCAACTGTGAGCTCACCCGCTTCAATGGATGAATTCTTTGAGGAGTTTTCTACTGAATGGGCTTTGAGGAAGCAAGGCCTGGCTGGAGGAGGAAGGTCACTGTGGGGTGTGACTTCCAAGGGTCTATCCCGTCCTGGGCCCCTTCCTCTCTGATGCTTATTGTTCCTGGGTACCATGAATCACTGGCTTTGCTCTTTCCTGTAGCTTAGCTTTGTGTCAGGCCCAGTGAAGCCAGATGACCTCGGATTACAAAAGCTGAACCAGGGCCCAAGGCAGGACAAATTCTGCTTTCTGTACGTTCATCTCAGGCATTTTGTTGTGGGGTGGATGAAAAGTTAGTCCACTGCCTCCTGCTGGTGCTCCACCCTTAGGCTCTTGCTCTCTGCTCGCAACCTCTTGCTCAGCGTTTTCTCTTTGTGTGCTTTGTGTGTATTTGGGGTGTATGTGGCAAGAGTGTGTTGTGTCAATACTTTGTATTGATTCAGTCTTTGCTCACCGAATTGGGTGTCAGTGGCCGGCTTCTGTCTTGATTGGTCTCCTGGAAACAGCTTGCATAGCTTGTTTTCTCTTTCCTGATGGGTTTTTTTTTGCATTAATTAGTTAATTATCAGTATGAGAACTGATTGTTTTCTTTTATTGTGTGCTGTAATTGGTTACTGCCATTATTGATCTTAATTCTTAACTGTTCTCAGGCTGGTCCATGGGAGACCTTCATGCTGATCCCTATGGCTCCATCTGTCCCCGTAATTCTGCTTATAATTCTGTCTGACATAAAAAGTCACTGTCGGCTCACTTTGAGTTTCTTTTGTTATATACATGGGATCAACTTACTCTGGGGACATCTGCTTCTTACTGGAGCACTGGGATCCAAGTGTTTGGTGTACACATTCCTCAGGGGATGCCATAATATAGAGGCTTTCTTAGTTGCCAGAGCAAGGGTACGTTAATATCTACAAACACACACATATCCACATATATATATATTCATACACACCACTGTTTCTATTTGTATATATATGATATATATATATCATATGTACATATTCACATGTTTGCCTCCAATTTCAGTTCCTTTTCTCAATTTTCTTCTCAGCTTTTTCTTATCCACATCTTAAATTCCTTTTTGGCAACAAGATCCTATTTCCCCCAATATGTGATTTCTCATTTGTTTGATGTGAATAAGTTCCTAGATAACACCAGTCATTTCCTCATCCCAAAGCCTGCCTACTCCATATGGAGCTGTATTCTTGGCAAATGTATAGTTTGAACCTTCAAATTTTTTTAATTTCTTGTTTATTAATGTATGTGTGTTTATGAGTGTGCATATGGTAGGGGATCAGAAGACAAGTCTGGGTGCCTTTTCTCTACCCTAACCTTTTTGTGGATTCTGGGGGACTGAACTCAGAGTTTGCACAGCAAGCACCTTTTACCCACTGAGCCATCTCTGTTCCAGTTGTTTTAATCTTAAATATCCTCCAAAGACTATGTGATTGATGCTCTTGGGAGATAGTAGGGTCTTGAAGTGGCAGGGCCTAGTACAAGAGTTAGCATGGTGGCAATGTTTCTGTGAAGGGAATTTTAGGATTCTAGTCTCAACCCTACTGACTTCCCTCTACTTGGGGGAAAAGCAAACAAGCAAACAGATGCGCAGGCAAGACACTGCCTTTAGACTTCATTTAAAGACACCACTTTTATTGAGTCCCAGTTTGGCTCAATCTCAATCAATTGCCATTGACAAAACTGATATTTTTCAGTTAGTCAGGATATTAATGAACACATACTCATTTTTATTATTGATAATTATAATTATGGTTAATCACTGATAGGAATATTTATGGAGAGAGCTCCAGTTTGAGCTTCTACCGACTGCTGTTATTGAGGAAGATTTAAGACAACATAGAAAGTTAGTATATTCAAGGTATTTGGAAAGATCAGGTGAAAGAGGAGGACCAAGGTGGGAGCAGGGAAGAGGAGGACCAAGGCGGGAGCAGGGAATGGGCCGAAGCCTCAGCAAAGAGCCGTTGTCACTGGGTGCCAGTGGAAGTGCATTTCCTAGGTTTCTTGAGATGCAGCCATAAAACATAGTACAATTTCTAATCCATTTTGCTTGGTTTGAATCTTAATTCCACTACTAACCAGGTTAGGTTCTGCCTGGGCAAGACACTTAAATATTCCCTGCCTGTTTCCTCATTGGAAAAACAAGAAAAAAAGGAACTATCTTATTATAGAATTATAAGAATGAAACAAGCTAATCCATAAAAATTGCTTGCCTCAGGAAATCTAAAAAACAAACCAAAGCAACCTTCCCCCAAAGCCAAAACAAAACCAAAAAGTGTTTTACTTGCAAAGTATATTCTTTGATCTAATAGTCCCTTCTAAACAGGCCCTGTGTTTATGAGTGAGATGGAGACATCTGCCTCCTCATCCAGGCTGCTGTGAGAGCAGAGGAGAGCGCTGGTTCCACTGCGATGGCACGTGGTGGCAGGAGAACCAGGGCAACAGGAGAAGGCACACAAAGCCATCAATACAGATATTTATGGTAAGCTCTTGCATGGCACCATCAGTCAAGATATTTACGGTAATTTCTCACAAGGCGGTATCTGACTTGTGAACCATGTCAGCGCTGGACTATTGGGCATGCTTGTACAATTGCCTATTCTGTAGGATAAGAACATTAAATGTCAACACTAAAACACCGACTACTGTATTTGCTGACTCTCACAGTAGCTCCATGAAACAGTCATGAAGGCATTATTATTTGCCTCTGCTGTCAGCAGAGGTCCTGAGGCTCACAAGGGTCAAATGGCTCAGTGCTGAGCTGAGGAGGGTAATTATCATAATAATTGTCATCACAGCTGATTTTTCTCTAGAACTTACCTGTTTATTGGGTTTCCCACCAAGTACTTTATATAAGCAATTCTTTTAAGTTGTCAGGTTGCAAAGAGAAAAGACAAAAACAGCTGAAGTTTGGTGTCATTTCCATGACACCAAACCTCCTTTCTTTCCCCATCAGTGAATCTAAGACACTCAAAAGCAATTATATAGTTTATTTGATGTCAGAAATTCTAATTCAAAAATTACTCACCCTAAAAGTATGGCTCTGTATTAGTTATCCCGGTGCTGTAGGAATCCGACAGAAAGAGTTTACAGGGACGAAGGGCTTAAGTCTGCACTCACAGCATCAGAAGGGCTCGGTCCAGCCCAGCTGGGAAGTGCCAGCGATAGGAACACGTCATCCTGTTCTTACAAGTGCGAGCATTTAGCTGAGCTCGTGACAGAGGACCCCGTTGGGTAGAAAACTGGCTGGAACTGGAAGTGGGAACAGCTTTCAAGGCTCACTTCCACCGGCCTTTTTGTCAGCCAGTCCCAAATCTCAAGACAGGTCAGCCAGTCCTAAATCTCAATGGTCTCACAGTCTCCCAAGACAGTGATACAAGCTAGGGACCAGGTGATCAAGTATCTTGGCTTATGGGGAAAGAGGAATTTTCATATTCAAACCAAAACACAATCCCACAACCAGTCTTATATGCCATGTCAAACAGTCTTTGGCATGGTTGAAGAAATAGTTCAGTTGGGAAAGTGCTTGTCATGCAAGCATGGATACCGGAATTTGAATGCTTGGCATTCACATAAAAATTCTGGCTTGGCAGTGTGTGTTTACCTCTCCAGTGCTGGGAAGGTGTTTGCAGAGGGATCCTTGGGGCTTGTGAGTCAAGTCAATCAAGCTTAGACAGAGAGCTTGTCTCAAAAACAAGGTGGAGAGTGAGAGAGGAACACTTCTGATGCTGACTTCAAGGCGCCACAAGCACCTACACACATGTGCACTTGTGCACACATGTGCACAAACGGACATGCACACACAAAGACTAATGCATACACACAATATAAAATCTTTGGGGGATGCGCTGCCCTTGATCTCCCATTGTGCCTGCTTGTATTTCTGGCATTAGTTCAACAATGGCACACGTGCTCAAACTTAACTAGGGCAGCCTGGCTATCACAGGCGGTCCTTTTAACCACTAGTTACACGTGTTAGAGCCTGACTTTGTGGGGTGAGAGGCAGGCAGTTTTCAGCCCAGACACCAAAGCCTTAGGCCTAGGGAACCATGGACTCAGGTGTACAGTTAGGGTCCCGCGTGCTTGATTTGTTGTCCTTGCTTAAGATACTAGCCATCCTTTGTTGTATGGTCTGTGATGAGTTCAGACTTAGAGGTGTAGTGGGATGGTGGGGAGGGAGGACTTGGCGTTAGGCCTGTAGTGGCTGGCATTGATTGGAACTGACTTGCTGCTGGAGGTGCAAGAACAGAACTTCTGGAGTACAGGTACAGTGTTGACCTGTTTACTAAAACCTTGAAGGCAGGTTGAGCAAGCCAACTGTCAACCACATTCAGAGGGCTGGTTTGTTCCCATGCTTGTTCACTCCCAGTTCAGGAAAACTGTCTCAGTGGATGAACCCCTCATGGTCTTGACTTCCTTGCTCATACTCTCACTCTTTCCACTCTTAAACTGGATCTTGGGAGATCAGCCCAGTGCTCTGATGTGGGTCCTTGGTGTACAGAACTAAACAGAGATTTCTCAAGAGAAGAATTTCAAATGGCCAAAAGATACTTAAGGACATGTTCAACTCCCTAAGCTATCAGGTAATTGGAAATCAAAACAACTCTGAGATACCAACTTACACCTGTCAGAATGGCTAAGATCAAAAACACTAATGATAGCCTATGCTGGATAGGATGTGGAGTAAGGGGAACACACATCCATTGCTGGTGGGAATGCAAACTTGTGCAACCACTTTGGAAATTAGTGTTTTGGTTTCTCAGAAAACTGGGGAACAACCTACCTCAGGATCCAGCAATACCACTCTTGGGAATATATCCAAAAGATGCTCAATAATACTACAAAAGCATTTGTCCAACTATGTTTATAGCAGCAATATTTGTAATAGCCAGAACATGGAAACAACCTAGATGCCCCTCAGGTGAAGAATGGATAAAGAAAGTCTGTCACATCTACACATTAGAGTATTATTCAGCAGTAAAAAAACAATGACATCTTGAATTTTGCATGCAAACGGATGGAATTAGAAAACACTATCCTGAGTGAGGTAACCTGACCCCCCCAAAAAACCAAATATGGTATGTACTCACCTGTAGGGATAGTCCAGCCCCTTAGAGGGCGTGTTCGCCTCGGGCTAATGTTTACATATAAATCTGGCGAGCATGAGCCCCGCTGCTCTCTTCTTTTTTTTGTATCTCCTGCTCATCACTGGATCCCTGGTGCTGTAAGCTATTCCTTTATTAAAATTTGCTGTTTCATATTAAGCTAGCCTGGTTATTACGCTGACTACACTCACCCATTAGTGGATTCTGGCCATAAACAAAGGACATTGAGCCTAGAGAAGCTAAGTAATAAGGTGAATCCGAAGAAAAACATATGTAGACACACCTGGAAATTGGAAACAGACAAGATTGCCTGACAAAATTTGGGAGCAGGGGGGCAGGGGGTAGAAGGAAGGGGAGATGGGGAGGGTTGAGGAGAATTTGAGAAAATGGGATAGTCAAGATGGAGGAAGGACAGATATGAGAGCAAGGAAAGAGATATCTTGATTGAGGGAACCATTATGGGGTTAGCAAGAAACCTGGCTCTAGAAAAATGCTTAGGAATCTACAAGGATGATGCCAGTTAAGACCCTAAGCAATAGAGGAGAGGGTGTCTGAACTGGCCTTACCCTGTAGTCAGACTGATGATTATCTTAACTATCATCATAGAATCTTCGTCCAGCTTTTAATGAAACCAATCCAAGTGAAAAATCTCTGTGGTGCACAAAAGGATTATTCCACAGCAGGTCAAAGCATTTCTAACACTTGGTGTCCACACAGGTTAAAGCATTTAACCTTCTCTCTTGGTGTCCACAGGGGATCAGGCCCAGAATTTCACACACACATAGATTTCTGTGTCACTTAAGTTCCCTATGTAATAATGGCATAGTGTTTGCATACAACCTATGTATCACTGTACCTACTTCAGAATATTTAGAGTAGGTAAAAATTTGTACTGAATTGCTTAAAAAGTAATAACAAGAAGAAAAGCCTTCACGTGTTCAGTGCAAATACAGCACAAATTTGAAACCTGTGATTGGTGGAATCTGTTTGTGGGACATGCAGACACAGACTGTGAAGGACTGGCTACTGTAGTTAAAGAATTAAAAGAAGAGGCAATGACCTCTTCATTTAAAGCCCAGATTCTTAGTTTCCTTTCCTCAGAATAAGCTCATCACGGCACCATGCCACCACACTCCTAAGTGGCTCACTGCTAATTGCTTAAAACACTCACTTCCTCTAAAGCAAGCATACAGCCTCGTCAGCTATCCCTTGTGTTGGTTCCTACAAAAAAAGCCTAATATTTGCTGGGTAAGACTGTGACTGGCAACAAGGAGAGTGTAAACATTATCACTGGGGGAAACTGAGCAAAGGGTATTCAGGTCTCCCCTAATTGGTTCTCACAACTGCTTGTGACTCTGTAATCATCTCAAAGCACAGTGTAGCATTAAAAAGTAATTCTGTCAACTGGAACTGGGGTGCAGTTGAATTAGGATCTCTCTGATGTATTCTTAGAGGGGTCATTTCACCAAACCAAAGGATATTGGAGTACGTAAAATATTGGGTTATATGGTCCACATCTTTTATTTTAAAATGAGGATACAAGATCAAGGGGGAAATATATATATATTTGACATATATTATATATAATATTATGTATATTATATATAATATATGACATATAATATATATACTATTATATAAATACATACACACATATTGCTATCACACACCATGGCTACATATATCATATATAAATCATCTTAAGTAGCAGAAAAGGAAACCTTCACATGTGGGTTTGTTTTGCTTGTTTAGAATTCTCAATAGTTTTATTGTTACTTTACTATTGGAGAAATTCATGTCAAGTCACCAAGCTGACTAGTGATCACGTCAAAGTTCTCTGTACTATACCAACTTTCAAGCTATGCCCACACCTATCCTTTATTCAGAATTAGTATTTTACCACCACCTCCAAGCACACCCAGATTTAAACAAACCTTTTAAAATGTCCTCATTGTGTGTGATGTTCTGCCATAGTCTTTGGGTCTATTCTATTCTTTAATTTTAATATTTTCCTTTTTATTGAAAATAGATTTCTTTCATGCAGTATATTCTGATTGTAATTTTTATTCCCCAACTCTTCCCAGTTTTTTTTCCACCTCCCTCCCTTCCTGGTCCACACCATTTCTGTCTCTCCTTAGAAAACAAACAGGCATATAAGGAAAAATAATAAAACAAAATAGTATAGAAGAAGATACAACAGAAAAACAAGCAAACTGGAATAAATCTAAACAAACAGAAAACAGAGCCAAAGAAAAAGCACAAGAAACACATATAGATACAGACAAGAATGCTATGGAAACACAAAATCAGAAGCCACATTATATTGTCAAAGGAGCTGTAAGAAGAAAAGCTCAGGAAGGCCCTGAGACAACATTATGAGATACAGGCCTTCAAAAACGCCGCTGAGTTTGTTTTGTGGTGGCCTCCTACTGCTGGGCATGGGGCCTGACCTTGAGAGTAGATTGTTTTCCTAGTGAGACTCCCTTAGAGAAAGCTAGTTTTTCATTGGCAGTGGTTATCAACTGGAGATAGCTTCTGGGTTAGGGATGGGGGCATGAGTCCACTTGTCCTTTCAACCCTAGGGGCCATCTGGTGCAGACCTGTCCAGACCTTGTGCGTGCTGCCTCAGTCTCTGTGTGTTCGGAGACTCAGAGCATGCTAGCATTGTTGTTTAGTAAGCCTTGCTTCTATGACATCCTCTATTACCTCTGGTACTTACATTCTCCCCACTTGCTCTTCTGCAGAGTTTCCTGACTCCTGAGGACAGAAATTGGGTGGAGACATGCCATTTAGGGTTGAGTATTTCACGGTTTCTCACTCTCTGTATGTTGTCTGGCTTTGGGGCTCTGTATTAGTTCCACTGTACTTCAGGAGGAAGGTTCTCTGGTGATGGCTGCGCACTGCACAGAACTACGAATGTAACAGAATGTCATTAGGAGTCACTTTGTTGGTATGTTCCGTTAGCAGAATAGAAGTATTTTGTTTTTCCCTAGGTCCATGGGCAAACTAGTCCCAGGTTCTTGATCACCCAAGCAGTGTTGATTGTTGGTTCCATTTTGTGGAGTGCGCCTTAAGTCATCTCAGATCTTGGTTAGTTACTCCCACAGGCTCTGTGCCGCGATTGCCCTAGCATAGCCTGCAGGCAGGATGCTTTTGTAGATAGAAACATTTGTGGCTGGTTGGCATTTTCTTTATATCTTGTAGAACACCTTCAGTACCATGAACACTAGTTCATAGGGGTGAAGGTTCTACTTAGGCATCATCCCAACTGACTTCTTTGTGTAGGTGTTGTCTTCAGTGCTAGGATCTTGTCATCAGTTTGTGGAGAGCCTTGGCAATAGCTTGGGTTATGTGGGGTTTCCAATGGGACCCCTTTAGCCAACAACCTGATTTGAGTTCATCTATTTCCAGTACTGGAAGCTTCATTTGGTGATGAGATATATCCAGTCGGGGCTCCGTTTCTTCCATTATTTGGCAATTTCACTTAGATCAACTTCAAGTATGTGTATATTTAGGAAGCTTTTACTGTATCAGATTTCCAAATGACCCTGCAAAATGGTCATTGGTTTTGACTATCCCCCGCCTGTATTCTCTCCCCTAGCCCATTCTTCCCCCTCCCTCCTTGTTTGAACTTCCTCTTCCAGTTCTTCCCCCTAATCGATCTATAACGAATCTATGTCCGCTTCCTAGGGAGAACCACCTCTCCCACTCCATTCTATTCTTAAAAAATCCACGGAACTTTATTTGATAGTTTATTCATGGCTTGTGACTCAGAAAAACTCAGGATGTTATTTTCCCCTTCGCTTTGTTCCTCTTGGTAATGCTTTGGAGGAGACTTTCTTTTCAGTGCTGTCCAAAAGTCCCCCTCC